AAGTGAGTGACACACCACACGAGCCTGCAAATCATCTCTTTCTGCTGCTCTCCCAGGTGTACCTCAGGTGTGGATTGTCTTTTTTTTCTGCACAGACTTGAACCTGACATCTTTGTTTTATTAGCTTTTCATAAAACTGCATGTATTTCCAGCAGCCTGTGCAGACTTGTACAAAGTCTACACACCATAAAGGACTGAATAAACATGGAATTTCATTTTCACCAAATCATTTCGGCGCCTAATTTTTTATTTTTTTTTCGAGGATGAATAGATTTATGAATCAACAAGCAGCCTCAGCGGAGCCTTATTCTGCGCAGTTTTGGCCCTGGCTTCAACCCATGCCAAATCGATTCCAGAGGTCATTTTCTTCCTTCATTTTCTCTTTCCCGTGTGCCAGTGGTCCTGTACTGAAGGCCGTCTGTGGCAGGACTTTGTGTGTTTGTTTTCTCTGTTGGAGCAAAAAAAAAAAAAGGAGATCTGTCTCCACTTAGCAAAGCCCCGGCTCCTTCACAGGGTAAAAACCTCGATGGTGGATGAAGGGCGGTGAGGAAAGGGTGGGAGGGGGGTCTTGAAGGTTTTGATGCTGAGTGAAGCCTGCATGGTGTTTACTGTAAAAAAAAAAGCTGAAATGAAATGGCAAGAAGAATGAGGAGGTAAACAGCAGAGGAGAAAAAGAGAGTGTAGAGTAAGGGGCAAAAGTAGAGTGTGGGATAGCAAGATATGGTATATGGAGCTATAAAGAAGGTAAAAAAAGAGTGTGAGGTAGATGTAGAGAGTAAAATAGAGAGAAAAAGAGAGACAGAGAGAGGCCAGGCAGCTGGGAGCTCCCATAGACACGCACTTCTGTCTAAGCAGCTTTCCTCTCAGGGCAGGGTCACGGCGGGTCACGGCGGGATTACACTTTTGGCAAACAAGAGGGAGCTCCTCTCTCACAAAGCCGTGCACGACTCCCCCATGACTCTCAGCAGCTGTAATAAAGCCAAGGCAGCCTGAACCTTCAAACAAAAAGCTAACACGCTATCGATCGACAGCGGCCAACTTTCGCGAGGTGGTGTCGAAAGGTCGACATTGTGCAGACAGCTCGGGCCGAGGTGAAGGGCTATTATTGGGATGAGGGAAAACTCCGGCGTTTAGTCTTATCACAGAAATTCCTCACTTAGTTGACGATTCCACCAAACTGTCAGCGCAGGAATGGAGTTATTGTTATTCGCTAAATGAAGAAAAACAGCCCCCGTGTACAGTGCGATATTCCAATCACAAAATCCAAATGAGGTTTTCTATCCCTTCAATCAATAGCCATCCCCTGCAGTGCCTGCATGTCTCTTCACTTCCTAATCAACACTTCCACTCATAGGGAGGTCAGATGAGCAGGCGCACAGTGCCCCGAGCGCTGCTTTGAACTTAATTAAGCAGCTTTAAACACAGCCGAAAAGATTCATTATTACACAGGCAAGATGAGCAGCTAGATGAGAACATGGCCCTTCAACAGAGGAGATTCGGCTTCGGATGGCTGTTGAACCCACATGGGTCAACACCGAGGGCGCAGTGATGGAGGTCCCGCAAGGACTGCCAAATCCTTTAGATCTGAAAAAGGTTCCTCTAAAAAAAAAAAAAAACACAGCCAAAAGCTCACTTTAACTTATATAAACGGTGCGGACGAGGCAGCGTTCAAATAGGGATACGAACAGTGATATTATCTGTTAAAGCTATGCAAGATCCGAATGAAAGAGAAAGAGGGGTAAAGATGGAGGCGTTCATGTGCCTGGAAGTCTGCAGCGTGCCACCAGGGTGCTGTGAGGCAGGGCCTGTTAAAGGAGAGCTCCAGACCAAGGTGTTCTATAGCTCGGGGGCTAACGGTGATAAATGAGTCCCTTAATGTCGGCAAACACTTTATCTCTGCTTCATCTGTTTTCATTAGGCAGGGCCAACCTTTGGCTGGGCGAGAACGTGCTGTAACTTTCATTACTACAACACAGAAAGGAGAGGGAGAGAGACCTCCCATCGGTCTAATAAAAACACCAGCTAGACACCATGACAGATCCTATTCCTTATTATTATGATGGCACGCCATCGTTATAAATTAGAGAATGCTGTGTCCCTCAAAGATGATCAGTGCTTTTCCTTAACTCTTGTCCCTGTCTCCCTGCTGAATGATATCTTTTCTGCTGCGCTTACTGGTCTGAAACATGCTTTTGATTTCTTTGTCTTTATTTTTTATGTCTTTACTTGCTATTCTGTCTGAGAGGAATATTGAATAGGCACCAAGTTTTTCTGGTTTATTGCTCAGAACTGATTTTTCTGTTTGGCTATTCATTGTTTTTTTTTTCAGATTCTAGTGTGAACAGGCCGTGGTCCTGAACTGACCCGCATGTGCTAAGACACAACACATCGCAGGCAGCGCGCCGTTGTAGAGACGTAAGCATGGACACCACTGAAGACAAGTTGATGTGCAGTGGAAGCTAGTGAGAGCTGAGAGCAGATGATAACAAGACAGAGAGCCCAATTGTTAATTGTGGCTTTTTGTGGAGCAGTGGCTGCTACCTCTGTACGGAGGTGTGTGTAGATGTTACAATATGATCCCAAATAGCTATGAGGTCTAACATCTCACTGTTTTTCACATTTGTATTTACTGGGTGACTCCTGCCAGTGCAGGTTTGTGACAAATAACAGAAGTTGAATGAATTCTGATGACTGTTCACACTGAGGTTGCTTTACAAATAATCAGATCTGTAACTGACTTGGAAAAGAGCCGATTGCATGTGATTTGTATTGTTCACATTGTCATGAAAACAAAAACAGAATCTGAGTCCCGTATGAGCAAAGAAATCAGGTTTGGGCCAATTGTTCCTGCAGTGTGAACGCAGCCTTTGTTTACTGTCTGTTGTTTTGAATATGAGGATCCTTATTAGGGTGGGAAACATTCAATACTGTTTATTGACTTTCAGTGCAATTGAATTGTCACATGATATTTTTTTGTAATTATTTTGTTGTCCAAATTAGTTTCAAGCTAATTATATTGAATATATATGAATATTATATGTTTTTATAGTTTTTGTTTTGCATATTTAAGTTAAAAGGTTTTGCCTGCCGCAGTCGTAACGCTTTATATGGACTGTATTGTGTTTATTGAAGTTGAAAGACTTAAATAAAGGCTTTATATTCAGTGGTGAATAACAACAAAGGTATTAATAAGCCTACTGCATATTTTAAGTTTATAAATGCCAACAGCTGTGACACCAGCTGTACGTGCGATATTATAGCTACCTGCTCACAGTTGGCTGGATTGTCTGTGTAGCTCACCTTTAAACATGCAAATAAACATTACAGTATAGGAATTAGTCTAATTTTCACACTGTATTATATCCATTTATGTAGCACCATACTAGAAACTATACATAAATTAAAAGGTTCATGCATAAGAGACAATTAGCTTTTTGGTCACGAGGAAGATGAGGAAAACTGTTTTGTTGTTATGTTTGGCAAAGCGCAGGAGAAATGCTGATTGAGGTGGGAGACAGATGTGATATGCGCCATCAAAATAAATGAACAGAGAAAAGACAAACAACTGACGTAATATCTGATGTAAGCTTTACTTTCAAATCCTGTTACATTTAGATCTGGCAAGTTGAACATAAAATAATGCCAAATAAAGAAAACAAATACAAAACCAAAAAAGTACAAATGATCTATTTACCAGTTATCGTCACAACCCTGTACAGCCTTAACAATGGAGTAATAAAAAAAAGCTTTTTACAGCACATACCAATTTTTTTACCGAGTGCCAAAAGATAAGATAGTTGAGCCTTTTTCTAATCATAAAATACAGCCAAACGTAAAGCTAACTGATTGTAGACAGTGCAGTGTGATGCTAACTAAATGCAACCGAGGGAGTTAGTTTTAGACACAATTAAGTGCTAAAGAACTAGAGAGAGGGCAATGTCATGCATACTCTGAATTGCTGAAAAGGTAGTCAAGCTTTAAAATAAGGTCGCTGTGCTGCTTACAATTGGGCAAAAATAAACAGAATTAGTGCTTAAGAATACTGGATTGCTAAAGTATAGAGCCCTGTTGCCTTTTTAAACATTACACTCAAACTAGGGGGGAAGGGGGGGATGAGGAAGTGCAGCCATTCATGATTACGCTGTAATAAAAGGCAGACATTTTAGACAGGTGTCGAGTGGACACACTTTTTTTATCTTTTGTTTTTTTAGTTTGGACCCTGACAATTAGTTTGACTCATTCTCAGAAGTCTCGGGTGGTTTCCTTCCACCAAGTGGCACTAGAGTATAAAAGATAACGTAGATAGTACAAGGAGAGTGTTTGTGGATGTGTGTGTGTGTGTGTGTTGGAGGGATGCTCCTTTCACTCCAGAGACAGCATGCCAGACATTGACAGAGCAAAAAGGAACAAACAAACAGCAGTGTAAAGGGGGACAATCGAGGCATCGCTCCACACCAGGATGTGACGGATTCAATCCTAACATCACATCTTGCGGCGAGTTACATTTTGGTCTTGACAATTCATGTTCTCTGTCCAATCAACATTTTTCTGACATAAGTAGAAAAATTAAAAAAAAAAGCAATGATTCAGTATAAGAAAATTCATGAGTAAAATAGACAAAAGAAAAGCATAAAAGGAAAATAAAAAAAACAATCCCTTTACAAATAAGGGATTTTGGCTTGAAGACCACTTACAAACACAAGTGCTATCAATAATGGGTAAAGCTTTTTTCAAAATAAAATGCTTGCTGCCCTATTTCACAAACATACTTCTTTTTGAGCATTTTACGGATAAATACATATTCTCTTAATCAAAAAGTGCAGCACTGTGCAAAATTGGCTCATCACAATTTAGCCTGGGACCTTTAGTTCCCAGGAAGAGCTTGACCTCTACTGTCTAATTCATGCAATTTGTATTCATTTACTTTCTCCGATTTCACAGAGGCAGACCCTTTTGCACCGCTCGAAATGTCTACATGTGAAACTAAGGGGTGTTGATTGAGTCATTTCCAGCAACTACTGTCCACTTCACATTGCGGTAACTTGGTGGATCTAAGTTTGCACTTAAAAAAAAAAAAGGAAAAATTAAAAAGGTTTAAGTGCTTTTGGCTTGAAGTGTAACTACATTAAGTGCAATTAAAACTCAAAAGGTTGACAGGAGGAAGAGGAGGAGGAGGGGAAGGGGGGCACAAAAAGCAGTACCATGTCTGCCGGCCTAACAGAAGCCAGTGCCATTGAACACAATGCTGTACAAGTGAATGGCTTTGCTTCATCATTGCACCTACAGGAGCTTTTTTCCTCACAATGTGTTCTCTATGAATGTTAGTAGAAAATGTTTTATTATGATGTAAAAGGCTCAGTAAAAAAGTAAAAAAAAAAAAAAAAATGAAAGACAAAAAGAAAAGACCCCAAAAGAAAGACACAGAAGGCCACCAAACACACTAACTTTCCCGTCTTGTCCAGCACAGAAGACGTCCCTGTTCACACTTCTGTATCGCTTCATTTTCATGTACATAAACAAAAATACATTCATTCAAGTCATTTTGGAACAGTTTTTTTTCTTTTTTTGTACACAAAAATTACAAAAAGCTCCAAAAAGCACCATTGAATCGGCCTGTGGTGACCCTGGCTGTGGGTAGCTTGCTAACCCAGAGCTGGTCACCTCCACAAAACAGTTATCTCATATATCTCTTCTAAGTATAGGTGCGTGATACATAGTTCTGCATATGAAGCTGCACTGATATCCACCTGGTCTCAGACATAATGAACGAATGTTTCCACTTTATCACGAGTCTCATTATTTCACTGCTTATTCACCTGTGAGTGCAAATTCATTGGCGACAGTTTACATTGATATTCAAATCAAATTATTAGTAATAAATGTATAACGTTTCTTGTAATTGATAGGTCAAATTCAATATTTTCCTTATTTACATCATCACAGCTTATCTTCTGTTTTGTGAGCTTACAAAAAAAAACTAGCTACTAACCCATTTAAGTGACATTTAATCTGAGACAGAGGCGATATCAGCAGCAGCCATGCATAATATGGTTTCACCATTATACAAAAAACCAACAGAAATCAAAAAGATGGGAAGGGGAAGGGCTACAAAACTATGTACAAGACTGATAAATAAGTAAGTGCGTGGTTTGAGGCGTTGCTTTGGAAACGTGCCTTTTTCAATGAAAAGCATTCCGTTTCATTGGTTCTGTCCACGTTGCACCGCTAACACTTCAGGATATCTCGAATTTAGCTTCCTAATGACGTCAAAGCTAGTTGAAACACAGAAACAGGCATGCTATTTTGATGCATAATAGCAATAGACAAAAATGCACTAAAATATAGCACTTGCAAGTTTTGTTTCGTCTTTTTCAACATTTTATCTCGTCAAACGACTAAAGAAAAATATCTATAAAACTGAGATACGTTAGTTTCCTCAGATAATGCAACTGGGTCCAGGTCATTCAGACATTTAAAAACAGAAAAGAAAAAGGTAATAGAGAGTAGTAGCTGAAGTAGTAATAATTCAATTGATAGAACTGATAAGAAAAGCAGCTTTTTGATATAAATGCATTTTTAGCATGTACAGCCTTTTTCTCTTATAAATGTTTTTTTTTCTTTTCTTCAATATGTTTGTCTGGTCCAGCTTATTCTGCTGGTCTGATTGGAAAAGACGTTTGCTCCCACTGCAGTGGTCAAGTGTCATTCACACCACTGTCCGAGGAGTGAGGGAAAGAGAGAGGAGGTGGAGGAGAGGAGGTGGGCGAGGTCAAACAGTCTTGGCCCTCTCCATCAGTCCCAGGTAGGCCAGGAAGGAGTGTTTGTGGGAGGTGGGTGAGGGCGGAGAGCGGGAGGGGGATGCCGAGTTGCAGGAGGAGAAGAGGAGAGGAGATGTGGCGGGCCGCCATCTGGAGTGGAGGTGCGAGTGGAATGTGAAGCGGCTGTTGTGGGTGAACAGGGTGGTGAGGGGGATCAGGTGTGCCCGGTCGCAGTTCCTGTACTGCTCGAACACGTGGCGGGAGGAGGGGAGGAAGAGGGAGGGGCCGCCGCTGCTCGGGCCGCCGGGGTTTCTGGTGGCGTTGTTGCCGTTGGCGCTGACCAAGCAGTGCAGTGGGCTGGTGGCGTCCAACTGGTGGGACTTGCCCAGTGTGAGTGACAGGGCGACGGACTGGAGCGCCTGGGACGCCGTCAGACTCATGAGAGGGCTGTTACTACTGCTCCCTCCACTGCTCCCTCCTCCTCCACTGAACAGGAAGTTCTCCTGGCCCTTCCGTAACAAGGAGCCCCCCGGTGACGTTCCCTGGAGTGGCAGCTCCTCTTCTCTTGCCTCCTCATCGTCCTCCTCTTCTTCTCCTCCTAAGCCTCCCCCCACTCCTCCACTCTGGTGTTTCTTGAGGTGGCGGCTGAAGACAAAGGGGTGTGTGGTGGTGAAAGGGCACTCTTGGCAGCCGAAAGTCTGGCGCGGCGCGTGCTTCAGCTTCTTGTGCAGGTTGAGGTTGTCCTTGCGCTTGCAGCTATAAGAGCAGCGGTCGCAGTGGAAGGGCCGCTCGCCCGTGTGCACACGCACATGCTCGATCAGCTTATTGGCCGTCTTGGACAAGTAGCCACACTGCTCACACTTGTAGTGGTTGCCCAGGCGGTGCCCGCGCATGTGGGCCTCCAATGAGGCCTGGTCGGGCCACAGTCCCTGGCAGATGCGGCAGCGGTACTCCATCTTACAGTGCGTCTTAAGGTGGCACTCCATGGCCGCTGGACGATTGGTGGAGTAGATACAGAAAGGGCACCTGGGTAATGCAACAAAAAGGGAAGTAGGGAGGGAGGACAGGACACACAAAAGCAAAAGGACAGTTGAAGGGGAAGCGTACATTAAAAACCACGTAACACACCTTAAAATTTAATAACACGAAATGATGAAGAGGAGAAGGAAAGGTAAAGGAAAAGTGTGTATCATGTACAGTTCTGTGTGCTCATGGTGGTATGTGTGGCAGTTTTAATGGTGGGAGAATTGAGGTGATCAGGTATACGTGTGTGGAGGAGGAGGAAGAAGGGGGGTGACAGGCTGGAGAAAAGATTGGAGCAGTAGGACATGAAGGGAAATGAAGGAATGGAGTGGCACTTACATTTAAATAGCACCTTTCATCTGCTCTGGGCCCCAAAGCGCTTCACAAACCCTGCAGAACAGAATCACCTCAGAAAAACCTCGAAATGGTCAAGGCCCTCTCTCCCTTTCTACACACTCCTGCATATATAGAAACACTTCACATTGCTCAAGTGTATACACGTGTACACACTGGTCTAGAAAAACCCTTTATCGGGACCTTGGGGGTCAGAAAATGTAGGCAATAGGAGTTTATCTAAAACCTGTTTGCCCTTAAGGTCCATTCACTACACCTGTTTGGCCAAATCCTGCCTGCATTTAAGAGCAAAATATAAATGTAGTTTACATAAATTAAGAGACTGTGTACACCTTGAAGAACTGAAAATATATCCAATATGTGCACATGTAAGCAGTACACCAAAGAAGTTGAGTTGAAGCAGATTTTCTTCTGATAAATGTAATTTAAAAATATCAAAGAGCTCAGTTCTTCAATCTCCCTTTTTCTTCCTTAAAAAATATATTTCTAAAACATCCACAACCTGTTTCTTTCCCTTTTGACTGCCAGCGTAAGAAATCGATCTGGCTTCAAAAACATTAACACCAGACAGAGGAAACATTTAAAACTGTTATAAAAACGACTTTACATGTATTCACTCACACACTACAACTAGCAGCAAATCGTCAAGTTAGTGACTAAAGATGCTGTGTGAATATCTTTGAGCTATGAAGGGGCTTCTTATGTGTTTGTGCTCTGTTATCCTCAGGATTTGTATAAAATATACATCAATGTGTTGGCAGCCTCCTAGTTTACATTTGGTAAAATGCTACCATTTCCAGACATTTGGCAATATTGAGAACATCCTAACTCCACTGATGACTGCACAGAAAAAAAGGTTGAATACAGATCTTTGTTTATGACAAGATGAGGCGATAATCATAATGATACTCAATGGTTCTGCACATGCACAAACTGAAGTTATGAGAATAACTAAAAAAAAAAAATGGCTTGTGTTAGTGAATCTGCATTTTATCTTAAAAATGTAGGCAAATATTGTTATGTGTAAGCATTTAAAAAAAAAATCCAAAATGCTGTCAACTTGCACCCCAGAACTGAATCAGTGTAAAACTACATTATTATGATCAGCCTAAACTCAAAACATTGTCAGTTTGTGGTGTGGATGTTTAGATCAACAGATGGGCTTTATGTTAGCTTGACAGGCCTGAAATGGGACATAAATGTGTCACAGTACAACAAAGGCTCCTGTGGGACTGGAGTATGGAGATGGAGAGGGGAGCATGTGAGAGGACTAGAGCTACATTAACAGTATTAGAAAAACAAGGCTGCTTTATCAAGATAGATTCAAATAAGATAACTATATCCAATATACATGTGTATGAGTGCTTGTTCCTATATATGTACATATGTCTGAAGTGTTGGGATACAAACTGCAGTGTTTTAGGGTTGGACATTATGTTTTAAAGCTTTTCATTAGGCTCAGTCTTTCCATAAAATGCATGCTGTATATTAGATATGTAAGCGTACAAGTTTAAAGCATGCATTAGTTACGTTTGGATTGGTTTGTATCAATGTCCAGTCTATGATGTTACAAATGTACATGATCTGACATTTATGGAGTGTGTGTACTTCTGAATGATTATCTTCTAGGGGTGTGCCAACAGATTTTATATAATACACAGTACAGCATTGAGTGCAGTAGCTAAATAAGAAGCTTGGAATGCAGGTTTCATCAGATATTTTTCTTTGGCATGGCTGTTAGCTGTGGGCAGCGGAACAACAGACCCTGAGGCGAAGCCCATTTCCATCTCCTTTCCACTCTCCCTTCTGTTCATAACAGCCACTGCAGACCCAGAGACCACTGTCTAATAAGTTATACTTGCCAAGAGAGGCTGTCGAGCAAAACTACAGCTAGTATCATTTCATTTGCTGGCTGCAGATCATGAACATTAAAGTGAGGTTAACTGATTAAGGACACATGGTTGGAATAATCTTCAAATAGACCACGAATCTGTGTTTCTGACTTATTAATGGAAGTTAACAGGTGTCATCTGTATGGCTGCTGCAATTAGCTCTAAAGAAACAACCATTATAATGTCAGCCAGCTTTCTGTATCCTTTAAGTTATTTTACATGCAGTATTTTCTATATATAAAATGAGTTAAATGGTGCATGTAAAATAACACTTGAATTGTGAGATGCCTGAAGAACATTATGTGGCAACACTGTTATCATACTGTTGGACAGTGGTATGCATTTACCCGCATTTCCAGCAAGCTTCAGTTTTTGATTTTATTGCAATAAAGCTAAATGTAAATATGTCGTGACTAGCACACCCCTAGCATTGGTCCCTAAAAGTGTATACTCTATGTGTTTTTTGTGTGCAGTTGAATTGAAACGGTGAGGGGTGAGGGAGGGGAAGGACGGGCGGAGTTAGGAACCTCTGTCTGTACTTGCTTTCCTTACTTGAGCCCTCCGGAGGGGACGGTGTGGCACTTCTTGTGCTCCAGCAGCTGCTCAGGCGTCTTAAGGAACTTGTGGCAGACGTCGCACTCAAACATTCGCGTGATGAGGTGGATCTGGAGGTGCCGTTCATACATGCTACGCGTCTTACACACAAAATTGCAGAAGACACACTCGAAGCCTGTACAGAAGGAAAGAGGAGAGGATGAGTCAAGGGCGTTAAAGAGTTTTTGTTTGTCTTCTACTCAATATGGCTGAAATCTTAGAGTGATCCTTGAAACAGGAACAAAGTCAGGTTTAACAATGCCCACTCACATAAACAGAGTATATAAGCAAGATCCCCAGCTGTTAAACTCCAGTGATTTGGTATTGCACTTTCATAAACTTTTCTCTTTTTTTTTTTTAAGTGGTAAATGCCCACATCTTTCAAACTCCACACCCAAAGTTTGTTACAAAAACTTTCTGACAGACTTCAGAAAGTTCCTCCAGAGCCACAGCAGACATTATATATGTTTTCACAGGGTGAGTGGTACTCTTCATGGCTAGTAAACTGATGTTTATATGTAAAATTGCTTACGCAATGGAAAAAAAAAAATTAAAAACAGGCCTAATTAGGCCACATACATACACAATTAAGAGAATGAAGTCAACATGTAATGTCATCTCTTCAGAACTGGCTGGTCACTGTTAATTACCACTGCCCAAACAACCCACCAATTATACTCTTCATAAATAATACCGGATGTTTTTTAGTTTTTGTTTTATTGTTGCCTATTCAGTCATGAATATATACTGTTTTCAGGGGCTTTAAAATGATTCATGTATTTTGGTAATAATAGTTCCCACAATTCCTTGCCTTTGTCAGACTTGTCCTCAGTTCCTGATCCCGAGTGGCTTCCAGAGCTGGACTGGCTGCCTGCAGAGGAGGGTGGGGCAAGCAGGCCCCTGAGTTCTTCGTTACCGTGGGTGAGGTCTCCGCCCTCCGAGCTGTTGAGTGAATCGCTGAGGGCTGAGAGGGACGAGGAGGTGCTCTTGGTCTCGCTGAGGGGACTCCTTGAGTTCAGACCTGAACACGAGAGGACAGATGGCAGAAAGTAAGACATATTTATCATTGTGATTGAAAGCAATGTAGAGGAAATACTGTACCAGGTCCAAGTAAAGAAAACCTACAGGGCAACGATATTAAGAGAAATCCCACATTTCAGCTTCAGTTTTAAGAACCCCATCGTTATGCATACACACACTGACATACACACAAGCAGGCAGCCTCAACACTCCTGTGCTCTGACTGAGGCCCTGCTGCCAGTCAACTCAAGATGCAGTGTGCTTTTATTGATCCTCTTCTCTAAGTCTGCAATTCACTGGGAAGAGAGAGGGAATTAGAAGGGGAGGGGGGGCGAGACGGAGGGAGGGGCGAGGAGCGTGGGTCATGGCCGAAGGAGCTAAGATGGCGGGAGCATCTCAGGGCACAGCTCAACAAAGGGCATTCACTCAGGAGGGAGTGAAAGGAGGGAGAAAAGGCTGCACGGATCCTGAAATGGTTGACCTATCTTTTTAATACAGGCGCACACACACATACACACACATACACGAGACGGGTCTAAAACATAGAGGAATGTACGCATGCAGTGCACACACAAGGCATTTTACTGTAGTAGAGGACGTGATTAATTGGCTTCAATCAAATCTAAATATACCAGGGTCATTCACAGCACAGTCTAAGAAACATTTCGAAATGCAGTAGTGAACCAGCTTAAGGAAGCTTTTATCTCCTCTGCTGCAGTATTTAACATACACTTGTCCTCTCTTACAATATCCAAAAGGCTAATGCCACAAAATTTAAGCAAAGAAGGAAAAAAGAGAGATGCTTTCTTCTGAGCCAGCGGGCCTCAACCTTGAAACACACCTTAACTGAAAAACATTCCATTTTCTTTTACCAAATAGCTTCGTCTGTTATTGCCCGGCAACATTCAGGATGTGGCAACGGAAATGAAGAAGCCTGATCCATGGTAGATATACAGAAATACTGTCACATAATTGACCACCTTCCCCCCCCTACAGAGAAAGGCACCCAACCAACCCTTTACCCATGTAGAGTCCAGTCTTCACAGGGGGTTGGCTTGAACTATGATACCTGCTGAGCTCAGACATCTCCTGCCTGGTCGTGTCCACACATTTGACCAGATAACTAGCCTTTTACAGTCTGTTAGGATTCACTGTAAGTGCTGCTCGATCTACCTCACCCTCTGAAGTGTGGACCCTTAAACAAAAAGGGCTGGACTGGACAAATTATTAAAATCTCCACATATGGAATATGTGAGCCACACTCATGTACATTTGTGTGTCTTGTGGTGGTGTCCATCTTGTGTGAGACTGAGATAAATGCCAAGCCAGGCTGAGAGACTTAAAAGATGGCCACAGTGGCATCGTAAACCCAGCTCGTCTCCAAAGGACCCAAGGCCTATTGATTTTTTCCCCTCAGGCACGATAAGGGCCAACCTCCTCAGATAAACAAGGCCACTGTGGCCTCTGAAAGACCCCTCAGCTGTCTAGGCCGGACAATCCCACCCACCCACACATATACACAACAAGCACACACACACACACACATTGATGAACAGTGGAGGAGCAAAACATCAGCAATAAACTGGACAAAGCTGTTTTAGACAAAAACACTCATATCGACCACCAGGGGTTCACACCAGCAGCTTTAAAAGTCCAAAGAAGGTCGACTGGAGGAGGCTTGTTTGTGAAACCCAATTCTTCTGCTTGTCTTTCCCTGCGCCCTCTGAACTGATACAGAACTGTGTTTAAAAAGTGTGAATTACTGTTACATTATGATGTGACTTGAAAGAGCCGATTTCTTTTCATATACAGTAAAAAGCTGAGAATATTAAATACAAAGTTTAAGTATTTAGACAGTGATGCAGGTTTGTTGTGTTGGTTTTGTACGATTAGTCAATTATTTGATCAGTTAATCGGCACAGATCAAGCTATTCTACTAATCCTTTAAACTCGCTTTCTGAGCAAAATGTTGAAATTTTTCACTGTTTTTGATTTTTATAAAACAAGCCATTACTTAAAAAATGGCAGATTAATTGATAAAGGCAGTAATAATTAAAAGCAGTCCTACATGAAACACTGACTGTAGGCAGTGTAACCTTATTGTTGTCAGGAGTTGGAGGGACTATGTATCAAAAAGCCAATTCTTCAAAACCCTCAAAGCTGAAAGTCAGCTCTTTAACCTCAGTCATTGTTTAAATTTAAACCCAATGTGTTGCAGTACAGAGCCAAAACAATAGAAAATGTGTCACTGTCCAAGTACTGCACTGTATTTCTATTCTGAGCTGTGAACAAGAGCCACAATGTGTAAGCTACCACCCACTCTAACATGTGAGAGTAATTTTGAAAATAACTCCATAAATCATTTTTTCTAGGGGTTGAATCACGTACTTCTACCAGTACATGAACAACAGAAACAAGAACATTACCCTAAAAATTGGTCAGTTAATCAATTGACTCATCAATTAATTGACCAATCGAAAGAAAAGTTGAAATCAGCAACTATGATTTGTTTAAGTAATTTTATAAGCAAAAGAGACAAATTCTAGTGTCAGCTTCTCAACTGGGAGGATTTTCTGTTTTTTTACGTCATGTAATAGTAATAAATTGCATATATTTGGTTTTGGACTGGTTAGACAAAAGATTTTCTGACATTTTAACGCCATAACAATTGATTAAATTAAGACAATAACTTCCAAACCTTCATTACACCAATCTTCACCAATATCTTAGGCCATCTTATTAATGCTGTCACTTATAAGCAGCGGATCGTCAGGGGTTCTGTACCTGCGTGTCCAGTACTTATGTGGTTCTTCATGTCGTTCTCCTCCATGCAGACGTAGTCGCAGACGCTGCAGCAGAGCGAGAACATCCACTGCTCCTTGTCCACATGGAGCGACATGTGGCTGACAAACTGGGCGTTCAGCTCCGTCTGGAAATCACACACATGGCAGCTGGACAGAGAACAGAAAGGAAAAGGAAGGAAGATGGTGTGAATAAGCGGGGGGGGGGTGTACAGCATGAGTACATTTCTTTTAATTTGTTAAAGATAATTGAAAAAATTCCACACTGCAAACATGATGCAGATATTTTAACTCTTTTTAGAGCAGCAGTACGACATTTTGGGAAATATACTCATTCACTTTCTTTCTGAGAGTTAGATGAGGAGAATGAGAATACTATCTGTTTACAGTCTGTCTGTAAATAGGAATTTATAGCCAGGAGACTAAAGCCTAAAGACTGTAAGTGAGGGGGAAACAGGCTTTGTTCTAAGTTGAAATATTCATACACCAACACGTCTGAAACTCACTAAGGAGTCTTGTCTTCACTGTCAGGTTGTCACCTGTACAAACTCCAGGAAGTCACTATACCCAAACAAGAGCACAGCACATATATTCCCCCCCCCCCCAAAAAAAA